TTTCATTTCATATTTGATTCTCCATATTTATCGCTTGTGTGGAATTTAAGTACAAATCAATTTTATCAAGAAAAGTTTCTAAAACATTGTTGCCAAATGGTATCTCACCACATAAGTTAATTATCTTGAAAAGAAATTGTCTAGTGATGCTCTTATAAAATTTGGATCCATTCAACGATCTTTACAATGGAACAATAATGATTAATCGCGATTTCAAGGAGTATATTATCCATTCAGAAATAACCATTGAACAATATGCTAAAAAATAAGTTTTTTTCTTCTACACATCCCATTAACTCTAGCAAATGATGAATAATATCCATTCAAATTCAAGAGAAAACAATTTTTAATACATCCTGCTTGCAATTACCATTAACAAGGCTCAAGGACAAACAATGTGTGCTATTGAAATATATCTTCATGAACATGTATTTTGCGAAATTTCAATGCAAACAACTAAAAAAAGAAAATAAAAAGAAGAAAAGTTGTAGGATGTTGATAAAAAATAGTGCATAAAGAAATGTTATTTTAATGAAAATATTACATTTTAATTTATTCAACATTTCACATTATATATACATTATTTCATAAAAAAGTGTTATTCATATATATTATTTTTAGCAATTTCAATTTTTCGTATAACAATATCAATTATATCAACAACGTTCAAAAATTATATTCATACTTCAAAAACATTGTGGATATTATTCATTTGATATGCAATGCCCGTGTTTACTACTAGTCGTGAGAGCCCGTTTGGAGGAGTTTTAATTGACCAAACTATTCCTGAAGTCAAGACGTCGTCAGTTATAAATATAACTCCACAGACTAACCTTTCGTTTCCACCCAAATAACAGTGGGAAAAAAACTGAAAAAGAAATTAAAGCCCAAAAGGCTAAAAAGCAAAAAGAAACAGGCAAATGCGGCATCATCCTCCCCTCCACCGCCATCGCCTCCATGGCTAGAACTGCCTGGAGAGGTGATGGCGAATATCCTGCACCGGCTGGGGGCACACGATATACTGGAGAGCGCACAGAAAGTCTGTACTACGTGGCGAAATGTGTGCAAGGACCCTTCCATGTGGCGTGTAATTGACATGAAAAACCTGGGTGAATATGATGGCATGTTGGGGTACCTGGCTACCATGTGCCGTCACGCAGTGGATCGCAGCGAGGGCCAATTGACTGACATCTACATCGACTATTTCGCCACCGATTAATTGCTACTATACATCTCCGAACGGTATAGTTTCATTTTGAATTTTACATGTCTCAAAAGGAAAAAAATGCTAAGTACTTCTAAATTACAATATATGATGCTTCAATTTCAATCTTTATGCAAAATACTCCTTCTCATAACGTACCAAGCAATGGTGTATTTTTTTTTTTTTTTTGGAACTATTTCGTGGACAATTCTTTTTAAATAAATAAATTTAAAAATTACATAATTTTTTCAAACTTACAATTTTTAAAAAAGGTGCAGCTAGCTGCCTTTTAAAAAGAAAGGCATTAAGGCAGCTTTCTTTTTTAAAGGCAGCCAAGTGCNTTTCATTTCATATTTGATTCTCCATTTTTATCATTTGTGTGGAATTTAAGTACAAATCAATTTTATCAAGAAAAGTTTCTAAAACATTGTTGCCAAATGGTATCTCACCACATAAGTTAATTATCTTGAAAAGAAATTGTCTAGTGATGCTCTTAAAAAATTTGGATCCATTCAACGATCTTTACAATGGAACAATAATGATTAATCGCGATTTCAAGGAATATATTATCCATTCAGAAATAACCATTGAACAATATGCTGAAAAATAAGTTTTTTTCTTCTACACATCCCATTAACTCTAGCAAATGATGAATAATATCCATTCAAATTCAAGAGAAAACAATTTTTAATACATCTTGCTTGCAATTACCATTAACAAGGCTCAAGGACAAACAATGTGTGCTAATGAAATATATCTTCATGAACATGTATCTTGCGAAATTTCAATGCAAACAACAAAATTTTTGATAGAAGGCTAAAAAAAGAAAATAAAAAGAAGAAAAGTTGTAGGATGTTGATAAAAAATAGTGCATAAAGAAATGTTATTTTAATGAAAATATATTTCATAAAAAAGTGTTATTCATATATATTATTTTTAGCAATTTCAATTTTTCATATAACAATATCAATTATATCAACAACGTTCAAAAATTATATTCATACTTCAAAAACATTGTGCATATTATTCATTTGATATGCAATGCCAGTGTTTACTACTAGTCTTGAGAGCCCATTTGGAGGAGTTTTAATTGACCAAACTATTCCTGAAGTCAAGACGTCATCAGTTGTAAATATAACTCCACTGACTAACCTTTCGTTTCCACCCAAATAACAATGGGAAAAAAGCTGAAAAAGAAATTAAAGCTCAAAAGGCTAAAAAGCAAAAAGAAACAGGCAAATGCGGTATCATCCGCCCCTCCACCGCCATCGCCTCCGTGGCTAGAACTGCCTCAAGAGGTGACGGCGAATATCCTGCACCGGCTGGGGGCACACGATATACTGGAGAGCGCACAGAAAGTCTGTACTGCGTGGCGAAATGTGTGCAAGGACTCTTCCATGTGGCGTGTAATTGACATGAAAAACCTGGGTGAATATGATGGCATGTCGGGGTACCTGGCTACCATGTGCCGTCACGCACTGGATCGCAGCGAGGGCCAATTGACTGACATCGACATCGACTATTTCGCCACCGATGAATTGCTACTGTACATCTCCGAACGGTATAGTTTCATTTCCAATTTTACATGTCTCAAAAGGAAAAAAATGCTAAGTACTTCTCAAATTACAATATATGATGCTTCAGTTTCAATCTTTATGCAAAATACTCCTTCTCATAACGTACCAAGCAATGGTGTACATTTTTTTTTTTTTTTTGAAATATTTCGTGGACAATTCTTTTTAAATAAATAAATTTAAAAATTACATAATTTTTTTAAACTTAAAATTTTTAAAAAAGGTGCAGCTAGCTGCCTTTTAAAAAGAAAGGTATTAAGGCAGCTTTCTTTTTTAAAGGCAGCCAAGTGCTTTTTTTTTTAACAATTAAGCAGCTGGTACATTCTTATTGACGGTTCATCTATGTGTCAAAAATCTGGTTAATAATGTGTTTTAAAAATCAATGATCATGATGGATTCTTGTTGAAGGCAGCTAATTCTTTTTTATTTTTTTACGGGCAGCTACTGCTGCAAAAATGCAGTTGTAGCCTTTTTTTAGTTACGGGCTGCTACTACTTCTTCTTCTTTTTTTTTATTATTTATTACTTTCTCTGTCTGCATTTCAAATAACACGGGTCATTTTGACCTTTGTTTTGTGTGGCTCCGGCTCGGGTCGATGTTCAAGCTCAGATCCTCGGCTCTGTAGGGCCGAACAGCGAGCCGGGCCAAAGCACGGGCCGTCCGAGCTGAATTGACATCCATCGTATTTTCCATTCCCCATTTTGTTGGTAAAATTAAGCACGTTTTGAAGTTTATTAGTTCCCATTGCAGTCTCATGAAATCGAAGAAAAGAGTAGGCTATTCAAGAGAGGACATTGTTGTCTTTTACTTCAAGAAATAAAAAAAATACGTAACTAAAGGCATAGAGGCAATCAGGAACTATATGGTTGAACGCTTGAACATTCTCCCGGTGAATGGATAAGGCATAGCAGTATTTTATAGAGCTTATTTTCCCTAAACGTGATTATTTGCAATCTGACAAGGAAGTAACGTGGCGAAACCTGAGAAGAAGCGTGGAAATTACAGTTGCCTTTGGACCTTTCTTGATTTTGTTCCACTGTCAAATCAATTTAGGGGTTGTTTGTTTCTG